GAAAGCGCAGGTGATCTGTTGCACCTATTTTATAGCGTAGTTCGCTGCGGATGGTTGGGCGTGTCAGGCGGGATGAGTTTGGCGCGGTGCCAAACCCGTTCTCCACCAGTTGTTAAAGCGAGCAAATGATATGACTGTATCATATCGTTCGTATTACTCGTTTTCTACCACTTTTTGTCGCATGCGCGCTTCAACAAGAAGGCAGAGAACGGATGTGAACACTGCCTGACACGCCCAACCGTCCGCAGCGAACTAGTGTATACCTATGGGTTCAATGAAAAACGACGTCCGCATAAAATTTTCATCCGTAAAAGGGAATGTACTGCGAAGACTTGCTTTCAGGATCTGAAGTTCGGAGTGGAGCAAGGAGTGGATATGATCTTCGCTTCTTTTATCCGCAATGCGGATGGAGTCAGAGCAATGCGAAAAGTACTTTCCACCATCTTATTGGTTTTTTGGAAGGCTGTTACAATCTCACGTTCAGATTCTCGGTGAAAAAGGCAAATTTATCAAAATTATCGCCAAAATCGAGAACCAGCAAGGTATGGAGAATGCCGACGAGATCATTGCCGAAGCGGACGGGGTCATGGTTGCCAGAGGTGACCTCGGCATTGAAATCCCTACTGAAAAGGTGTTTGTCGCGCAGAAGGTAAGATCCTTCTCAAACTCCCGGATTTTGTTTCGGATGTAGAAGTGCATCGATTAGATTACGGGACGTTGTTTCATATGTAGATGCTGATCGGGAAGTGCAACCGAGCCGGGAAACCCTGCGTTTGTGCGACTCAGATGCTTGAATCGATGACGAAGAAGCCACGACCGACTCGAGCCGAAGGAGGAGATGTTGCCAACGCTGTAGGTTTTTGAAGATTTCATGTCCATAGTTTTGCCTGAGCACCCCGCAAGTCGAAGCTCGCAACACAATCACACGGCAACTTCGGAGCGGCTTTCTGCTGACCGCGGCGAGTTGCCGAAACTAATGACGCTTCATCAGTCATAATTTCGTTAACTACCAGTTATTCAGCAACGTTTCAGCTTGAAGGACACCGCTTCTACTTACTTCATTTCCTATCCTGTTAGAAATATTGTGGCAATGTCGAAGGAACATTCTTTGATTGTATCCAATGGGTGCTGGGGTGAACACGGCTTACAAACCAAGATCATAAAGTAGACAAAAACATCCGAAATTTCGAATGTTGAACACATAAAAGAGGCGCCAAAATTTATTGCGAAAGACTCAAAAGATTCAAAAGAATCCAAAAGTTTTCACAAAAATTTTTTATATTGTTTATACTCTTTCTTCTTCGAATATTTCGGTGCCTAGCACCTTCTTCAGCGACCTGAAATACTACAGTTAGCCACCTCCACCGGAATCCTGAATCTTCAGTGGTGCCTCCTTTCAAATTTCGCCTCAATTCAGGATTCCGGTGGAGGTGGCTAACTGTAGTATTTCAGGTCGCTGAAGAAGGTGCTAGGCACCGAAATATTCGAAGAAGAAAGAGTATAAACAATATAAAAATTTTTGTGAAAACTTTTGGATTCTTTTGAATCTTTTGAGTCTTTCGCAATAAATTTTGGCGCCTCTTTTATGTGTTCAACATTCAAGATTGCTATATAGAAGGCTCCGGACACACTATTTTTGAAAGTCGAATTCTGCTTAGTAAGCCTAAATCCTCGGTGCTGGATTATTCGTTTTAAGCAGGATTGCATGAGGAAGTGAGAGGCGAAGGAAATACTGTGGGCGCGGACGAGGGACCAGATGAACAGGGAGACAGACATGCGAAAAACAGTCACGGTGTTACGCGAACGTGCCAGTGGCTTCATACAGACTGAACACAACACTATGTACTTGTGGCTCGATCCGATACCTCGCAAGGAAGCAGATGGTCAACTCGAAAGTGTATCGTGAACGCTGGTACACGTCGCGCGCAGAACAATCGCAAATACCGGATGTTACAGACTCGGGCGCGCGATCCTATGCTTTGTTAACTGCCAATGACACTTTTGCTGGCTTTTTTTCAACAGGTACACGTCCCGTCGTATACCTCAACAATATAGACAGTCCCTGAGAGGTTACTGGTCCAGAAACCGTTGTGACAAGCCAAAGAATTAGGGGGACCAAGCTGATGAGCCTAAACTGACCGTGAACCAAGAATTTGTTGCAGGTTTTTTACATCATAACTCGCTATTTAATCACCTAGTTAGAGTTTAGCAAATAAACAAAACCATAATGTCATCACAATCCAGGTCTACCCAGAGGTGGAACCAGGAGCAAGCCATAATCTAAGCAGTAACACAATGAGTTTAATCGCAGAGCTGTGGCGCTCCCAATTCAGCCGTGGCCTCGCGATATATTACGGCGACACTTGCTGTCTACGCGCGCGACGGTGATCCTTTGGACCCGTGCGTCCCGTGTCTTCTTTCTTCTTCTTCTTCAGCGTTTGTCCCGCTCGATGGCGGGGTCCGCTCTTTTGATATAACTACGCCACTTTTCCCGATTGAATGCCTGATCGGGGTGAATGCCGGCTATTTTCAAGTCGGTATGCAGCGTGTCGAGCCAGCGCTGTTTGGGACGCCCCTTTGGCCGCTTTCCTGGTACCTCGAGTTCGAGAGCAGTTTTACGGACGGTGTCAGCCTTCGCGCGAAGTACGTGCCCGTACCATCGAAGGCGCGTTTCACGCAATTTTCTCTGCTATGGGGCTACACCATACTTCTTGCGCACGACATCGTTACAGATGCGGTCCGATCGCGTGACGCCCGCCGTCCAGCGCAACATCTTCATCTCCATCACACCAAGGCGAGCCTCAACTTCTTTGGTCGCGGGCCAGCACTCGGCACCATAGAAAGCTACATGCCCTAGCTTTCGCTTCTCACGGTGTTTCTCCAGCAATCATAAGGCATAGTTGAACATAATGATGTGACATGGGGTGTTCGTAAGCCGGCCCGTCACGAAGGCCTGTCGCCTGCTGTCGGTTTGTCCGTGTTCTGCTCAGCCCGCAAAAGCGAGCAGGTCCCGGTGGCACCACTTGGAGGAACGGACGTCACCACCTCTGACCGTCTCCTATACCGAATAATAACCGGGCAACACATTCCTTGGCACTACAATTCGGGGGTTTGAAGGACCAATGAATGCTCAAGATGCCACTGAAGAGAGGAGCAACCAAATCGTCGAATGCACGAAGACTACTGAATCGAAGAAGAAGTGAGACATTGCAGGCCAGCGACAAAGGGTGAGTGAACAGGATGACGAGCCGAAACACTAGCGAATGGCAAAGGCTGGTCCCACAAAGATTGAGCGCTGCGCGTCAAGCCTGTGTTCATAGACACAGTGCCGCTGGTATATATCATCCGTGGATTTATGAGACAATTGCAACGGATGGCCCATCTTTGGTTTATGAAGGTTGCTCGTCATTCGTCGAAAAGCCGCGAAACTAAGATGGCCTCCGTGATTTCGCTTCTTTCTGCTCATGAACTAGTCGCGAAAGAGGCTGGTGAGCTTGATGACCGTCATTTGGCACCTTTGAAGAAGGTATAAATGAACCGCTCCGGCTACGAGAGTTCATAGATTTTCACAGGGTGGCCTTGACAAGCTTTACTGAGTTATGTTTGGTGGCCCCACTATGCTCAACTGCGTCATCGGGGAGAGTGCTCTCAAGGACGCAGTCAAAGATGATGAGCTGTTCTGAATCCTTCCAGAATGCCACGCTTTTGAATTCTGTTCGACCGCATGCTGTGCAGAGAGTTTTGAGTGTGCAAAGAACCTCAACTTCATAATCAGGACTTTAGTCAAAGGGAAGGGGTAGTCCACCGAAGAGTGACGACGTGCTTGACATGGCAGAAAGAAACCTTAGCCGCTTGTGGGACCTTACCGAAGAGGAGATTTGAATGATTGAACTATCACTTTTGCTTCTCTTCCGATTCCGGAGCAGCTGGTAATAATCATTCTCAAGGTTCTTGATGGAGCGGATTGTGTGATGTTGTCCGGAGAG